AGCCCCTAGCACCCATCTGATTGGCTGGGTAGATCCAGTAATAGTAAAGAGGAGTAACTCTGCCTCTGTCAGGAATCGTACCACTGTTACCCAGTTGGTAGCCTAGTCACTATACTGAGCTAACCTCACTCCTCTCTCTCTCATTTACATGTAGAATACAATCTTCAAGTTGTTAAATAATTGATTATTTTATTATATTTACATTAAGTTTATGCAGTGTGCAGGTCTCAGAAAACAGTCCTTGTAATCTGTGCTATTTTTAGACGTGTTATGGTAATTCTGGATGTTAAAATACTGGCCTTGGGAACTGAAGTTGGATTCAAAATTGGCAATCCTAAACCAATCACTGAAGGTACTGAAGTAGAAACTGGTGGTCTGAAGCAACCTCCCCCCAGCAGGCCTGTGCAGCCAAGGTGTAAGTAATGAAAAAAAGTAGGGTGTAGTTTTTAAGTAACATAAGTGTCCTAGACAAAATTAATATTGTATCCAGATTTTGATGGTGCACACCATACAGGAGATGTAAGGAATAAACTGAGAAATGAAGTTATGCTACACATTCCTGATATTCTCAGAATAACTAAGCACCATACCTTGAACATATATGCAGATACAAAGGTAGTTTCTTGCAATTTTAGGTGTATTTGCAACTAAAAGTTTAAAAAAATAAATTGTTATCTTTGCTATTTCTTGCTGCCCAAGTTTAACAACTGGAACCATAACAAATTTGCATGAAGTTGAATATGAAGAAACATTTGGGTTAAAATTAGACCAGTAAAAGGCACACATGAAAACCAATGTACACTATTACCTTGAAACTATGTGCAGAAATCACAAGCGAAACAGGCACCCATGCAACCACATGGTGGAAGATCCCCATGATGGTTTAACTCAGACAGGGTGTGTGGACACCCTGTCATTTAAAAAAACAAAAATGTCAAGGGTGGCATTCACAAAGGTTAATGGCACATTTGGGCAGAAGCAGCAGCAGCCTCTCATAACAATTTACACTACTTAGAAGAGGACATTCATGACTGAAAATCTAGAGGTAATAACACAGCAAACAAAGAAATGATACATTGTGCGAATATTTCCTTGTTAACCTCATCATTAGCTAGAGGTCAGTGTTCAGCTTTATTTTCCGACTTACTCTGAGGAATACCTTCTGGAAATTGAACTAATTCAAAAAGCAGAATGATGTAAATATTAACACATTAAAATTCACTTTGTGTACTTTTCATTCATTATTCTGACATCTGTACTGAAATTGAAAACATGACTCAACTGTGTACATATCTTGATTTTGTTATCCATGCATGTATACTAGTGCTAGAATCCTGATTTCATATCTTCCATAGCATCAACAAATCTGGTAAACAGCAGTGCACCAGTGTTGTCATCTCCAGGATCTTCTGTAAATACACATCCAATATCAAGCCTAAGTCCCTACCAGAACAAGTAAGTATAAGCCAATGTTGTATTGAGAGCAGAATCGGAGTAAGAAACCAATTTTGTGTGTGATGTTATACAATATTAAACACAGTAACCTGAGAAATGTATAAATTACAGTAATAAGGCATTCTATGAATGGAACACTTGAGTAAAACTGGAAAACAAGTATTTATCATACAGTAATAAAAATATTTTCTGTCACTGAGATATGAGTAGTTTAGCCACATAAATCATAAGTGGAGGGTGACAGTCTTAACACACAACTGAAAATAAAATTCTTGTTGCTTATTGATTGTTTTGACTGGACTTTGTATGAAGTACAGCCAGACTAATTACTGTTCGAATTAACTTTTAGGTGGGTGATTAAAGCTCGTGTCACATCAAAGTCTCCTGTGAGGACTTGGGCAAATGCTCGAGGAGAAGGGAAGTTATTTTCAATTGATTTAGTAGATGAGAGTGGAGAAATCCGAGCAACAGCATTCAAAGAGCAATGTGACAAATTCTATGACATGATAGAGGTAACGTGGTGAACTATATTGGCATCATACTTACTTTGTACGTTCTTGATGAGTCTCGTATACTCACTGTGATATTCTTTACAGGTTAACAAAGTGTACCTCATCAGTCGGTGTACACTGAAGACTGCAAATAAGAAGTTTACTAACATTAAAAATGATTATGAGATGACCTTCACCAATGACACCCAAATGATTCCTTGTCATGAAGATACGACTGATATTCCATCACTTACATATAATTTTATACCTATCAATACATTGGCTGGTCTGGAAACTAATGCATTAGTTGGTTAGTCAGAATAATTTACTTAATTATACAATTATCAGAATCTAAAGTGCATTAACCAAATACCTAACTCTATGCAGTAGAATCCTTCATGAGAAGCTGATCTTAACTCAGCTGGTGGAGAAATTTCCTGTCTTTATGAAACTCAGAAGCTGAATAACCTGTTCATAAGAAATGGGTAAAGAGAAACTTTGGTAGTTTCTTCCCATTTTTCTCTCTGGCTTACTGTTTATATGCAAAATTTCGAGCAATAATAAAATTGTTCAATGATACAAACTCATAATTCCCCGCCCCCCCAATTTTCTGTGGACTAACCAATAATTGTTTACAGATTATTTATTTTCAGACAGTTCTATCAGGTCCCTTAAGAAGCTGAGCTGGAAAACAGATTAGCCCTTGTGGATTACTGCATGCGGATGTTCTCAATTTGAATATTTTTAGTAGACTTTCATGGTGCCCTGATTAAAATCCAAGTGCACCACCACCTACATGTTGCTTCTAACAGTGATTTTCAGTGTTACTGTGTGGTCATACATAATCAGTAAGACCAAGGGTGCTGAAATTCTAATAAAGGACGTGAAAAAGTCATTCAGAACTAACTTCCATAATTGTAGCATGTCTTGAATTTTACTTGCTGTCATATTTTGTGCATGACAAACTACATGGTGTGTGTACAGTATTTGTTAGCTGCAAGATGTTTGTCAAGAACTTTATACCAATAATGTTATTTCTCACACAGATGTTAGTATTCTATTCTTGGTTTTTTGTAATATTATTTTATTCTAAGCAATATTGGGATATAAATATTCTTTACACTGTGTTGTGGACTATGGCCAGTAGAATTTATTACATTTTACTGCATTTGGCATAGCAAAGTGTTGTTTTTTGAGAAAATAATGTTTGTGTATGAAAATCACCTGCTTACGTTTCAGATGAATTAAAAACTGTTTCAGATCTCATTGGTGTTTGCAAGAGTTCTGGTGAAGTTCAGTCTTTAATTTCCAGGAACACTAACAGGGAACTGAAAAAACGAGACGTTACACTCGTTGATGAGTCAAACACAAGTGTAAGTAAATTAAATGGGTGAGAATGACATTTGACAGTACAGTGCAGTGTGGTTGCTTCAAAAGAGCACAATAGATACCTAAAAATTTATTCTCTCTAATGCAGGACATTATGACTATACAAGCTGATACATGGTTAATAAACAAACAAATTTTGTAATATGGGAATTCCATGCACAAATGTTATAGTGTTATAACTCTGTTCATATATATTATATTAATTATATTTAGTTACTTCAATGGATCAGTGGTTTACTTATATCAAGTAACAATATGAAACTATAACATAGATATAAATGCATCATAAAACACACATTAACATTGTCAATAATTTAATTTTAGTACTTTCATCTTGATGTAAGCTATGCAAAATTATGGACTAATCGGATTAAACTCTGTGTATTACTGACTTGTGTTAAAGGTTTCACTTACGCTTTGGGGTAATCAGGCAGAAGAATTTGATGGAAGTCTGCAGCCAGTTTTGGCTATCAAGAATGGGCGCATTAATGAGTTTGGTGGTGGGAAAAGTGTGTCACTGATGCAGTCAAGTGTATTCCAGATTAATCCAGATATTACAGAAGCCCATAAACTTCGTGGGTGGTTTGACAATGTAGGTTCAACACAAGAGCAGGAGAGCCTTTCTTCTCGCACTGGAATGGCAGGTGGTGGTAAGTTTTTCCAGACATCTTTTGACCTTTATCAGCTGTGTGCCACGGCTACAAGTCCAGCTGGCCATGTGTTACAGTAGCATACCACTAAACTATAATTCCCGAGAGTTGAAAGGCTGGCTAGCAGCCCATTATTACTGGGGTGTATACCCCCACCCCCAGAGTAAATGTTATTATCCAGAGCACTTTCAGCAATGTTCTTTTAAGCTATTCTAGCTTTCAGTACAAGAATTTTGATGTCATCCAGCCATTAAGTTATTCTCAGTCTAAGCACATACCATGAAGGCATGTGGGGCTCCACTCATTATTCTATTTCTGGTTTACTTAAGAAAGCTGCTAGTAGCCTGCCAGTATGGCACTGAATGATTAATATGTAATGAATTGAACAGCATATGGAAGGAAGCAACTGTGGCTTAATTTAAGGTAACAGTACATCGCACATAATGTGGATCCAGGTTGTATAACCAAGGCCATCTAAGTAATATCACATGGTTAGAAAACTATCCACTTGTGCATATTGCCTTTCTCCATGGTTCATACACTCTCCTGTTATTGATCTACACATTTGGGGATAGAAACATAGCCACTAGCATGAAAATGATAGCAGCATATAAGCCTAGAAGGAAGAGAAGTTTAGGAAGGCCACTGAAGAGATGGCATAAAACCATGACAGGCCACATGGTGCAGTAGTGACAGAATGACAGCTGTTCGTTGTGTTTTGTTTCTGGTTCCAGCTCTTTCTTCCAACTGGATGACCTTTAAGGAAGTGCAGGAGAACCAGCTGGGTTGTGGAGAAAAACCAGATTACTTTACAAGTGTGGCCACTGTGCTTTTGGTGAGATCAGAAAATTCACTCTACAAGGCCTGTCCCACTGCAGAATGCAACAAGAAGGTTGGTTATGCACAGTTTGATCCAACTTATTAGTGGAAACAGACAATAGTACAGTTTCTGTCATGCGATCATAACAACATCAGAAAGTGGCATGTCAGGAGCATATTGCTTGGTGGTCACGCATTCGTAATGTACAAATTATAAATTAATACAAGGAAGTTCTGTGGCTCAAGGGTCCAGTGTAGAAAGTGACATGAATGAAATATTTGTTTCATAGTTCCATATCCTGGTGTTGAACTGACATACCATCTAACATGTGGATCCATGGAGTGTATATTAATATGTATGTACTACTATGTTCACAAGAGCCTGCCATTGAAACCTATCCTGAGAATTTCCTTAGAATTAAACATAATACAATACTGTCCTCCCATCTACACCTAGGTCTCCCAAGTGGTCTCTTTCCTTCAGGTTTTCCAATAAAGATGGAAGACATGATCCATTCTGACTGATCACTATTTAAGAGCTAGAATATTGGATGTAACGTCTGGATCAGTATGCCATAGTACATTAGGGAAATTTGGCATTTAGTATTGTTGTTTTTGCCTCCCACGCCCTTCAATTTCGTTTCTGTTTTTAATCATACACACGGTGAATGCGACATTTTGTTGTCACAGTGCTCAGGGAACATTACTTGAAGTGATTTACTATATTTGATTGAAGGATATGTTTTCTACTGTCAGATGACTGCATGGTAAATTGTGCATTGTTAATGATTTCAGGTCATTGACCAGAACAATGGTATGTACAGGTGTGAGAAGTGCAACCGTGAATATCCGAATTTCAAGTATCGGCTTCTCCTCTCCGTGAGTAATGTATTAAAGATGTCTCTAGTTTATTCCCCAGATACATTGTTAATGGTTTTCTGTGGTCCCTCTTAGGTTATTTCAATTATGGTGTCCTATATACCTTATTCATAACCAATCTTTTCATTTTCAGTTACTGCTTAAGTTCTGTATATGCTACAGCAAAATTAAAACTTAAAGGTTTACTGTTATTACTCAGAATGTCTCCGTGGCATATAATTTAACCCTTTTTTGTAAATACATCATCCACAATCTTCATATATACGGATTGTGATTTTGAATAAATATTGGACTAAAAGACAGGCTTTCAAAAATGTCTGTACCAGTAGCAAAGGAGCATCAATTCAAGAGTAATCCATCCGAACAGAGGTTATAGAAAGTATGCGTGGCGTCTTGAAACTGTCACTCCTCAGAACCCACATTCTGATTGAGGCACATGCCTTTTGCCTAATACGCATACTTCTTTCAAATATTTTATTTTTGGTTAGCGTTTATAGTGATGCATCGTAATGCTTGAGGGAACTGGCATTTCCATTAACATTGTGGGACAATGTGTGGACAGGTAAGCTTGGGAGACCTCTCAGGCAACCAGTGGGTCACTTGTTTCCAAGAAGTTGCTGAAGTAGTGTTGGGTACAACATCCCAGGAAATTGGGGATATGTTCCATGATGATAAGCAGTTCCGAGAAGTGTTCTACAAGGCAGCATTTAAAACCTACACTTTCAGACTTCGGGCTAAGATGGAGAACTACAATGTAAGTACAAATGGAATTTGGTTTGCTTATGCAGGGGACAAAGCATATGTAAGACCGTGCAGTCTGAGGCATCATGCTTCGGACCGGCGATACGGAATGCACGCTGGTTTGAGTCTCGGGGGAGAAGAAATTTTCTCATGAGATTTTGACCAGTGTATGGGACCAGTGCCAACCCAGCATCGTGAGGAAATTGGGGAGCTACAATGAGTAGCATAATCCGGTCAGGAAAGCTAGCAATGGCTGGAGGTTCGTCGTGCTGACCACACGTCAGCCTATATCTGGTTGGATGATCATTCACCTCTGCTTAGGCGTATGAACATGAGGCCAGCAGTCAAGCTAGTCGGCTTTGGCTCTCTGGAGCTGTTACGCCACGGATTTAATTTTAATTTTAGATTTCACTGAAGCTGATTAACACATTCACTACTGGGCATTAAATTCAGGCTGGGGATTTACTTCCTTATGATGACTCTTAACGGATTTGATTCAGGTATAAAATTAATATAGGGATTGCCATCATTTACAAGCTCCTCTTCTGCTAGTGGTCCTAATTGTCCCACTTCCATGAATTTTACTTTTGTGGAACTCATATAAAGGCAACACACAACTGCTGTATCTCAGATGCCAGATTGGCACATAAATAAACATATATTTCATGATCTACGACAGTACACATAGTGTGGGAAGTCAGATCCTGGCAAAAGTGTTTTGACTGTTTCACTCCACCATGATGCTCAGATATCAGAGGCTCTTTTTCTAGAGGTTAAGTGATGAGAGTGATGTTGAACACTCGCCTCTTGTTTGTGCCTTGAACTGCAATGCATGGAGCTCCCTCCACTTTCCCTATGCGACTTCATGGTACGATGCTTCAACACAGAAGCAACTTCATTTTATAGTGTTAGAAAGAACTTGCATAATATAGCCATGTGCTAGTATTTGGTCACACCAAAGTTTTCATACAGGCTCCAGACCATCATGGAATCTAAACTGCAACAGACAGACATTATTTTGCCATTGTTTGTTATGCTTTCTAAGATGTATATAAATTAAATCCAGCTTTTTGTGTGTACAACTCACCATATGATCCTTATGTCTTTCAGGATGAGAATCGACTGAAGGTGACGGTGGTAGATGCAAAGCCTCTTAATGTCCAGGAATACAATGCAAGATTAATAACAGAAATAAAAGAAATGGCTGGTGTTGGTAATTCTGCTAAGTAATTGAATTGCTTTAATCACTGTACTGAAGAGATTATGTGAACCACCCACATACATTTCATCATATGAAACAAAGAAAACTCTTTAATTGCTTTAAGATCTTATTTCATATACAAACTGTATTATATAATTTGTCATAAATAAATACAAGAGAAATGTTAATAACTTTTATTTTATACATTGTTGTTTTACAGTGTCTTATTACAAGCAGACCTGAACCCAGATGTGCCTGAAAGACCTTTTTGAATTGCAATATCTTGATGAAGGAAATAAAGGGATAACAGATAAGCACAGGCATTTCTGCATGATTCTCATATTTTGTGGGGCAACAAATAAAGAACGAATAACTGGAGAGAACTGTAAACATTTCATACAGTCCCATTTGGCCAATACATATTGAAAACAAATTTCCCTTTCAGCCAATAAATGTGAACATATGCCCCTCACAAATTCAGAAATACATATAGCCAATTTTACTGGCAAAGAACATACATTCCAAAGAAACAAAAAAAGGAAAGACAATGAAGTCTTTTTGAATGTAATCCCAAGAGAATCTGAGACAAGCTCATGGAAGAGAAATACAACTAACAGCTTTTGTACAATCCTTGTTACCTGAAGAGAGGGTTGAGTTTTTACCGGACTCAAGAATGTCCCATAAATCTTTGGGTCATGATGACTGTAGAGGACCCTGTAACAAAAGCACTGGAGGCAACTCAGCAAGAACAGCTCACTGGAAAAACCCGAGACACTAAGGAAGATTATCTGGGAAGAAATTCTGTCTCATTAGCATAATACTTCCGAGTGCTTCAGGCCATGACTGAAGTTGGGATGTTGGCGAGGAAAATCACTTGACTGCAAGACTAACTGAAGTGCCTTGTTCACATGGGAGGAAAGCCTGGCTGGACTGGTCTTTCAATGAAGAGATTGCCGATTTAACTGTACATCAACAGAAGAAATACAGTGGTGGAACTGTCAGTGCCATCGAAAGCCACACTGCTCACCTCAGATGCCTATATATGAATCTGAAAATATTTTAACAAAAGCAAGTGTACCATCAAACCCCAACAAGACAACCTGAAGCTGCCCTATCCTCCGGACAAAGATATATAACTAAATTAAACCACATTAAAGATATTTGATAACTGTCTATGAGCAGAAGTACAGCATACACATTTTTCAAATGTTCTACTGCAGTTACAACCAGTAAAGCAAGTATGGATTGTGTGGTAAAGATAATTTATGATTTCACACATTTATATATTATGTTTGTCAAATAGTGTCTTACATAGCCTACAGTGTTTACTGTTGGGCAAAACAACAGAATAAATAGTTTAATTATTCCTTTATTTTCTGGAAGTATGTTCCATATGTGCACAGCAAATGTGATGTGTCCTGTATACATAGGCTGTCAGGCATATTTGGGTTTAATATGAATGAGTTATGCAGCAACAACTTTTTTCAGTAAAACAGAAAAGTGATGTAACAAGCATGATCCAATCATCTGTATTTTTACCATTGCCTGAGATTTTATTGATTACAGAAAAACTTTCACTACAATTTCTCAACTTCTACTACTGAAATCAGGCTTTTCGATCTACACACAAACCTGCACTTCAGCAATGAAGTCACAATTGAAAGAAAGATGTAAATTAATAATAAGCATCTATTCTAAGCTGTTGTATGAAATTCTTACTGGAAAATGATAAAATACTTAATTTGCAAGCTATATACATAATTATATATAATACTAAATGAAATGTTGCTAAGAACAATTAAACAAGTGTCAAAATAATGAATATTACTGACTTCTTATCATTCTTTTTTTTTCTTTTTTCTATCAGTATCTATTAATTGATGCAGTGTCATCCTTTAGTAGTCAACAAGAGGTCTGAAAAACAAGAAATAAGAATGATCAAAAGGTGAGCAGGTATGATGAACACTTACAGTAAATTAACATTTTATACACACATAACATGTCACACCCCAATTTAATGAAACAGTGGACTCCTGCTTAACTGGGATAATTGGAACTGGGTGGTAGGATGACTAATCAGAAACTTGGTTAATGTTGAGTTGCATTCTTGTTTGAAGATATAATTAATAAAATGTAATGAAATTTAATAAAATTCAGTAAAGACTGAAAAATTACCACTGGCATTTACTAACCATAACAAAAATTTATCAAATACAGATTCACCACACAACACTGTTTTTCTTTCCTCACTCACTTTTATAAAATGAGTGTACAATATTAAAATATGTGAACAGCACTAATTATAAAACTTGCAAAAAATGTATACTGGTGGGTGCCTGGAATATTACTAGGTATGTCTGATTATTTTTCATCATGATTGGATATTTGGGGATTCCCAGAAAAAAAAAGGTTAAGCCAACTGAGGGAGAGTCAAACAATATTCAGTGATGTCCTTTTGCTAAAACTGCAAGTTAAAATGAAACAATGCAAACATCTTATACATGCTGATTTTTTGTATGTGTGTGTTTGTGTATATGAATTTACTGTGTATGCCCAAAATATAGTGAAATGTCTGATGCTGCAAGTAAATTGCATTTGTTTTGAAGATTTCCGTCTTCTGGGTTGTTGCTGTGAGAACCTCAAGTCTTGCATTTGTTTTGGTTGTATAAATTCTATTAAGAAAGCTATCTTACCTGCTTTTAAAATTTACAATTTCATTCTGTGAATGTCACAAGTTTGTTGAGGAGGAGAAATCAATATGGATGCAGCTTCTAATACATTTAATAGGCAATCGTGGAGAGCTGACAAGCAAAGTGTCACTTTATCATTTATTATAATTTTACTGAATGGATATTTCCCTTTAAATTGTCACTTTCAAATTTCTTTTTTTGACATCTATAATTATTTTAATGTTAAGAAATATAAGACATATATTCCCCTATGTGAATTAACCTTCTCTGACTGCACTTTCTGCAATAATCATGATCAAGCTCCTATACCTACTCTGGTATTAATCAAATTAAATTAAATTTGTTTTCCACTGAAATAAAGGTACCAAAATCACACGATCATATTCAGTATATCCTTTACAAGTTCAGAAACATACCTCTGTTGTCTTGGTCTCTGAGGTGGACTCCAGCTCCTACTTCTTCTGTGCAGATCTTGCCGTTCCACACTACGACCACGACGCCCTCTATGGTCTCCCCGACTGTCTTCCTCATTAACTCTGTCCCTAATGGGGCAAGATAATAAGCTGCAACTCTCAATGAAAAATAAATTGTTAATCCTCTCATCAGTATTAGGGGCTCCCCATTATATATCAACAGAACAAGCTTACATCTGACAAAAATGAAACATGTCAAATGTAGGCTTTTCCATATTCTTCTGAAATAAGTTTTTAAGTATACAGCATAATGCCAAGCAGTGTCTTGATTATTTGTACATCTTCATACAAATGTAACATATTTTAGCACACTAACACGTGGGTGAACATCAGTGTCATTTGTTGATAGCCTGCAGATTAATGAGAAACTGGAAACTGCGAGGAATTTTGTCCCCAGAGCACCACTTCAATCAGTAGAATTCTTCTCTCATTATGCTGCATTTACTCCAAAGTTGATTTACTCTGGATACATGTTTTCACATGTATGGATACCTAAGAGCTGATTCATTCACACAGTGAATACTTTCTGTTTTGTTACTTATTTTAAGGTATTATATCAGCATTTGCGTAGAAGGACTAAGGAAACCCCCCCCCCCAAAAAAAAAAAAATTCCATCAGGTAGCTGGTCTTTGAGTACAGAATTAAACCTAGGACCTACTGAAAATAAAACAAGAGTACTAACCATGACATTTAAAGATAGTATATAATCCCTGAATTCTCATAACCAAGACACTTACCAGCGATTACGTCTGTGTCCAGAAGTCCCTGATCTGTTTGCAGCAGGGACTGGTGGTGGTGGTGATGGACTAGGAGACCGACTATATGAATGAGATGATGGAGAACTTCCTCTCTCTTCCTCATCATACTCATCATCATCATCCTGCAAGCGGTGACGACGTTCTCGTTCTCTACAGAAAACACCAAAAGCAATTTGCTTTCTACAAATCATTTCCAGTTCATGTGCCATCAAACCACTATTTTGTTTTAGTACTACCATTATTTATTCCTCGCCCATCAGTCCCCATTAAGGCACAGCACTGTTATCACTGTCTACTAAAGCAGCAGTACTGACTCATTTTGTTACACCTTACATCCGCTTTAGTTAAATTTTGTACACAAGCCTTTACCTCCTCCGCAATTTGATGGCCATCTCCCTTAGTTCATCCTCACGGTCTTGTCGTTCTTGCTCTTGTTTTTCATGACGCATTCTTTCTGCTCTTTTATCTGCCTTGTCTAAAAGAAAGAATAACCTAAATAAAGTTTCCTTCATCAGAATGAAGATCAGAACCATTTTCTCATAATACCTTTATTCCAGGAAAGACACTTTGAAATGTTACAATTTGGTATCTTCTCCAATAATGAGATAAAGTTACCAACCAGCTAATTCAAATTAATCTTACATCACACTTACACTGTCTGTTTAGCAGCGCTTGCATTTTTTTCTTCAGCCGTTCTTGAGGTGTAAGTTTCGGCTGTGACTGGAACATAAATGTACATACTAAGACAAAAACAAAGCAAGTTGAAGTTGTGTTCCAAAGAAACTGCTGTAATTTTTGTAAAACACCCATGTCACATTCCATTTCATGAAGGTGACTGTTTCCAACCATGTCACACCACTAAGAAGTATTAGTTGGTTCCTTATGCAATGATGAAAAATTTGATGACTCAGTTTTATAATTACGTTTCAAGCACTGTACTCTAAAAATGGCTATGTCACAGGAATTGTACATGCTTTTCAAGCCTGGGTCTCAATTTGTTAAGTACATAGAAAAAATGAACATATTAGCTTAGTTCTATAAACTATTATCCTCAGAACTAGGAAACTGTGAAAACATGTTAAAATTAAGGTATTTATACCTCAAATTCATAAGTACTGTATGCAAACAGAAGAAAGTCCATGTAGACTTTCCAGTAATACAAAAAGTTGCAATTTTTACCTCTCAGTTCTGTTTTAAAAGTTGAAGTTCAATTTCTAGACCTGTATGTGGTCAAGGCATGAAAAGTCATATTTACACAGTGCAGAATGTTGATATTTTAATGTGCAAGAAAACTATGCTTATCTGAAAGACAAATATTCAGCACTGGAAGAACTGGCAACATCCTAGCAATGTTGTTATTAACATCTCTGGAAAGGATAATTGTCAAATTAGACATAACCAATTTCTATTTAATCATGCAAAGAATTTGTTGTGTTAATGGTCTTATCGCACAATGTTAATATGAAGTTTCTCTTACCTATATAATACATTATAAGACTTCAAGAGTGTTTTATCTGAGAGAGGTAGTTGGCTGTTCTACTCAGCCATAACATGCCTCTAATATCAATGCAGTTACAAGGGCAGGCATGGAGCCATTTATAAAAATCTTCAAGATATTAATTTTGACTCATATTTATCGCTCCAATGATTTAACACACTCAATTAACATTCGTTTCAGGTGACCCATAAAAAACCAGCCACAATAGCTGACTACAAGCTGACAATGGGAATTTTCAGTACTTCAGGAAATTTTTCTCTTCGCCACAACATATATGCTGTGGAGCTGTCCCAGACTATACAATGGTACCAGCTCATTCCACAGCAATAAAGTGGATGAGTACAAAGCTGACCAATCACCTACTTTTAGTTTCACGTGTAGAAGGCGTCAAGTTTTACCTTCTAGCTCTCTATATGTACATATATTCATGGTGTCTTGCTTGGGCATAAGACCAACCTTACCTTTATGTTTTCAGAAATATACAAGGCTATTTATTATAAGGTTTGCTTGTTTAAGTGTTTCCCTCTACATGCCTTATCAGATATTTTTCTATTTATGAATAACAAACATTCTACAATTATATGCATTACTGGCATCAGTGGTACAGTCTAAGCCCTATTTTGACATAACACAGAATCAGGGCTAGACTGGTTCATCTATGTAAGTAAAAGGAAGTACATGATGAAGTCATCAAACTGAAATGTTTAATGACTACATTATAGAGAGTAATTCAATACTGAAGTGTGTTGCACAGTAACAAGAAACAAAGCACCACAAACGCTTAGATGCATAGCTAATCAGAAAGTAGTAACTGTAAGTCACTTGTACCAATGATTATTTTGATCTTTTCTCTCAAAAGCATCATCAACAAGAACGCCATTACATTACAATGGGTTTTCCCATTATGAGAAGCTAAAAATTTGCCAGTGAAATTTCATCTTAAAAATAGAAGCTGTCTCCTCCCTTCTCATTATGGTCAGAACTGAATTACTGTTAAATTTCTAGAGTATGCTTAACATAAAAGACTTATATTGAAAGAGTAGTGATTCTTACTGACTTTGGTTCCAGCACCAGAATTACCAAACCCTGAACTCAAACTCCTAGAACATAAAAAGAACAAATTAAATGTAATCATTATAATGATAATTTATATAAACTGCTGTAAAATGTGGTTGGAAGATTTAAAAATATAAGAAAATGTTCAACTTACTTGTGTGGTGGAGGCTTAGAGTTGCGTGGAAGTGGTGACAAAGACTGCTTGGCACTGTCAGAATCAGAATCTCCAAGTTCAGAGGAAGATGAGGCCCCCCTTCTGCTCCCATAGTATCTGAAGAGATACAAATTAAGTCCATAAGAACTAGAACTAACTAACTAACTAGATGGCTTACCGAACCCAAAGGTTCATCATCAAATTAACCAAAGCCCTCCACCGGACCCTGTCCTGGGCCAACAAAATTCAGTCTCCTTCAACTCCTATCTCCTATAGTTGCTTAGTTAATCTGTTCGTAACAATGCTTTTTTTATGGTGAAAGGTTGTTAGCCTTACGCCCAACTCCCAACCTGGAGGTCCAGGGTATCACTCTTAGTCTGGTGCATCGCCTTAGACCTGTCTGGCTTGGGTGATCCTACCATGAGCCGAACCTCCGGCTGGCATAGCCCTAAGGCTCATTTGAGCACGTAAGCCTCCTCACCCGGCAAAATTTATTTGCCTTCGACAAGGAGTCCATAAGAACAGAACAAAAATTTAAAAAGATTGAGTACAGAAACTTTTCATTCAATCATTTCTCATTCTAAAAAAGTATGTGTATGTATATGGTATGATACAATATGAGAAATTACCATATACTGAACCAATTCAAATATTTGACATTTCAGTTTGGGTATGGAAGAGCTACTGTAGTTCAGTCCAAACAATGTTAAAAATTACAAATTTAGAGGCAATGAAACTGAAATATAGTGGTGAGATACAAATATATTTCTCAATGAAAAGATTTAGCGTGGATGAAATATCTGACAATTAACGATAGTGGCAGATCTAACACCAGGGTGTCTTGGGTCTTCATCAAAGCTAAATTTCATTTTATTTTCTTACAATTCCATGAACCTAATTAGTTTACTTACTGTTATAACTATTACATCATCATGATTGCACCATGCAACTGAGAAGTCTGGAAATAACCAATGTTAAACCTATTGAACATTTCTAGAGGGCACAAAATTACCTAGACCATATTTCACTAATTGTTGTAAAGTGATACGACGGATATGTACGTCATTACAAAATTAGTGCAGAAAGCACTTTTGGCATTTTGTATTATGAATACACAATACCAAGAAACTAACATCTTCTGTACCTGCGGAGAGGTGGTGGGGGTGGTTGATTATGGGGAGTCTTTGATCGGCTTCTTGCTCTCGATTTTGTTAATGGAGATCTTGACCGTGATGAAGAACTATTGCTGTTGCTCCTTCGGTGTCTTGGCCTGATTAAATTAAACAATTCCAACAATACTGAAATGTTATAAGATAAACAAAACAGCACTGTATTTGCAAAAGTGAGTGAGTTTCAAACAAATTCATTCCTATGTAAAGGAATAACATCTGTGACATGAAGAGTACATTCATTGAAACCGTGAGGGTTATACCCTTCCACTAACCACACTGGGGGATTCTTGTGCTTCATAGTCATGGCCAATGATCAAATATACAAACATTATTTTAGTATGTCCTCACCTTGTATGAGAACTAGATCTGTTTCCTGTATAGTGTGGAGATTTGCTTCTAGCTTTCCTACTACTAGATCCATGGTCTCCTGATCTTGACCTAACACAAAAATCAGAATAATAACTTATTAATTAACCACAAAATCCACATCTTCACAAATAGTTATATATCCACCTCCTGTGGTCCTTCAGGTGAATGCAGTATGGACTCTATATATACATCTGATAATCAGAAAAGTAAGATCTAGCATGTCAACACACCTACGAGATGAGCTGTCTGGCGACCATCGTTGTGAACTACTCTTGCTGGTTCCATGTCCCCGGTGAGGTGAAGAGTTGGAGTTATCCCAGGCCCTACTGGACCTACTCCTCCCAGAAGCTCTGCTGCCAGGAGACCCTGACCTTAAGAAGAAGAAGGAAAAAAGAACACATCAGCTAAGAAAGTCAAAAACACTTCACCTACTAAATAATCACAAGCATAATTACAACACATGCCTATGGATTTCGGAATGCAACAGCATATTGGTAGCAGTAATGCATGAAGACAAAATTCACACAAACAAGCATATTCTGATAATGTTCTTAAAGTAACCATTATCTTTTTGTTACACCATCTTCAACAAAATAACTCTCTCCTTTACGAAGAAGAGAGGTTTAACACGAGTAACTGCAAGAATACAAAGGCGTTAAAAAGTATATACAGTGAAACCTCTATCCATCGTTCCCGGAACTATCGTTTTCCCGGATGCATCGTCCGTTTTGTTCGGTCCCGAATACATCCCATATAAAATAATGTTACATTTTCCCGCTTCTATCGTTCCTCGAACTATCGTTTTATCGCATCGATCCTTAAAAAATCTTAGTCCCAGCACACAATTTTCCCGCAATGATCGTTTCTGAGAAATTGTAACGAAATTTACGTGATATTTTTAGAATTTAATTCCGAAAGACGCACAATGTTTTTGGAATAAACAGTAGCGGTAACCTGTTATGTCGCCCAACCAGCACATTCTTTTGGAATGAGGGTCAGCGGTGCAGGGGTGATATTGGAGTGAATGGCGGTGCTCATTGTCAGAAATTTTACGATTTTAATTAGGGTACACTCATATTTCGTTCCAGCGATGCCAGATGGCATGTGCAGTGTGAATTTCTTCACAAATGCTTTTATTACAAGGACAAAGGAAAGGCGAAAGTGCTGCTGTGGATGTGGAAATAACGGAGCTGTGGCTCGAGAGACTGCCAACACTGCTGGAGGGATATGAGCCGCGGGACATTTATAATGCGGATGAGACCGGACTTTTCTACAACGCCCTCCCGGATAGGACTCTGGCATTGAAAGGTGAATCTTGCCACGGGGGAATACGTGCAAAACACCGAATTACTGTTCTTCTGTGTGTTAACAGTGACGGTAGTGACAAACGGGTTCCGATTGTAGTTGGAAAATCACGAAAACCGCGTTAACATTTCCAGGGTGCTTACTGTATATATTTTTGAAAATTATTCCATCACCACTTCACACTTCCTTTATTGTGCTATACTACACTAGTCATATGTTATTAGTATGTGATGTGATGTGATATGTATGACATACATGTACCGAGGCTGGTTCTGCAGAGTCAAAATACCTGCTGAAATAAAATATGACAGAATTGTGAAGTGCCGGTGAAATAACTGTCACACCGCATTATTAAAAAACTATAGCTATGAATGTGTAACATCATCTATAAGAAGACATGTTATGTGTGAAAATGTAGAAACCCCTGAAATGCTATAAAATTTTCAAAGTCAGTAGCAACCACCTGCATTCTAAACCATGACACTAGCTGGAGTAAATGATCAATTTCACAATTCACCGGGAGGTAAGTGGGCCCCTGACAGTTCAGCTGTGATTATAACCACTGCAATCCAATCACTTAACCAACCCACACAAGCTTTCTAATACTGACCATTATTAAGTGTCACATATAAAGTTCAGATAGAACTATCGCTATTACATTTCAAGAAAATTCATTTTCCAATTGAGTACTTTCATATATTGGCAGGCAAGTGACGAATTTGCATTATTTCAAACTTAACCAAAGTCTGATAACAACTACAGAGTGCTTTCAAATATATTCATCATTTTACATCCCTCAATGATATTTATATTCATTTATAGCAGATACACTAACAAGAAAGTTAGATACTATATTTCAATCACAAATTCTACTGTTAACAGAGCCAATTAGAATTGCATGCAAGAATAAATGTTCAATGCTTTTACTTTGTTAAATGTACAACACAAATAAGTTATAAGCATTAATGAGATCTATATTTTTTGTGACATACCCATTATTCTTAGAGAGATTTCCTCAACATTTTATATAAGGTAGGGTTCATACTGTTCATTCAACAACTTTTGTGTAAAGTAACTCTCAAAATCATATTTCATATAGAAAGTGACTTGGAAAATGTGACATGTTAAGACCTCTCCATATGCAGCTTCTGCACTTTTTGAAAAGAACAAAAACATGTCTGTGTAAAAAATTTCCTCATTTTACTCCAGCTGCTACGTGCCATGAAGGTACATAGTAGGACAGGAAAAGAATATAAAAAAAGCCTGAAATAAGTTGATTTTGATTTCTTTACAAATACAACCTCAAATGAGGGGAAAAATTATACTGCTCTATTCAACAAGCAATGAACTGTAATACAAAGGCTACAGATGATCAAATCTCCCATCATATTAAGTTTTTGCAAATCAAACACTGTATTTACTTGCATAATGTTTTCCCTTTTTCCCACTATTGTATTTTGAACAATGAAAGCAGTTGGAGGACAATATGCAGATTAATTACCTATGAGTTTCATAGTGCTATATGACAAACCTATTACACTTCTAGGAAATTTATTTAAAGTGTTTTATGGCTGGTAGCTATATAGCATTTTGCGTAAGAAGCCCCTCACTGTTACAATCAAAACCCTTCCAGAGTAAACACACAGCTATTTTTGGGAAAACACTGTGACAGTCCTTCCCTCACACCAAAACAGAGGACTGCATGACAGGAATAGATAAATGTCTGTATGCATGAACAAACAAAGCAGCAGGTAGAAGCAAATTTTGGAATAAAACGGTGTTGACCTCCTGGACTGACTCAGCAAGTTCTTGTGTGATCACAAAGAAAACAATTAACTGAACAATGCAAAATGATAAGTATATTATGAAGCTTAAAAATAACACAAACACTCCAAATAAGTTCACTAGGACTGTCTGTTCACACATAACAATTCAAGAATAGTGAAACAGATTCTCATTAAATGTAATACTGGAGTGTTTTACTAAAATTTGTCAACACATTCCAGTTTTTATTATGATGGACGACGACGACAAGCACTTTATACACCCTTTTATGTGAGGAAGTGACTTGATGGGGAATCCCCAGGTTACTTTACTTACCATGGTTTCCACCATTACCTACTGAATTGCCATGCTTGAGCTGTTATGCTGCGGGTATATTTCCTAACTTGTTAAATGTATACTAATATATAACATTTTACAGCCTTATGAGACATCGTAACAGTGCTGCTCTCAGTTAAGAAGCCTGTTCTAGCAAAGGGAGACACTAAAAGTATGACTTAGGGATGGTTATGGCATGACATTTATAGGGAGTTAGCTACATGGTTAAATAAGCAATGGCAAACAAATTTTAATGCTTCTTGTTCCAACATCGGCCTAAAACTGAATACTTGCAAATCTTTAATTAACCAACTATTGTATTAAGCTAAATCTCTTTGCTAGCACTTGATTTTAATTCAACATTGCTTTCTCAATATTTTCTGTCACTGTCTTATAAAATATCAGTAATCATGCCATAAACATATGGTACATCAAAGAAAAATCTTGATTTCAAGCACAATCTGGCCTATTACCATAGATGAAAACAGACAGACATTAAAATAAATGCCACCTGCACAACTCTCCTATCATTCTTCATCCACATATTTCTAGTATTAACAATCCCTATGCTGAAGTTGTCAAATTAGTGACAACTAAACCTTTCAGGAGCCTAAGCCCACATTCAAAAATGGCTGCAACAGTTTCCTTACGGAACACATGAATTCTCCATCCTCTCGCTCCATACTAAAAATGTATGGAACTAGCACGAATGAGGTTTGGCCACTGATATCTTGGTGCAGTTTATATACCGACCGGCTTGCTTTTGTCTGTGGGGCAACGACAACGTTGGAAGAATGTGATGACGATGAGGTAAGGAACTTGGATGAAGCCAGACGTCCCCCCTCATCAGTTGATTCCTCCTCGCCACCAAAGCTTGTGATGTAAGTGATCTGTCCAGAGTTCACCGGGGAGTGTGATCTCGAACGAGATCGAGACTTGGACTGTGATTTGCGGTATGGATCATACGTTGGACTTGTACGGGCAGCATAGCTGAAAGAATATTTACAGTTTACTTCCTTTCGATTTTAAGTCAGTAGTCACTAATCTTCTGGAGCAGAGCACCACCCTATTATTCTGGAAAACAGAATGTCATCAGTAAAATCTGCAAAATATTTTAATTGAAAAGTACATGCAAGTACCAGCATTACAAGATATTTTATTTAAAAACAGTAAACGATCTTAAAATTAACATTATATTGGCAAACACTCATCAGGTACTTGCAGATTAATATTAACTTCTTTCATATTAAAATTTATATTACCCATCTAAGGTTCAATTCCGAATGGGATCAGATATAAGTTCATACTGAACATTATTAATGGTCCACAAAAAGTACATTCGTGAATCGCAGGTTCTGTGCTGGGATATTAATAAATATACAACATGAAATTCTAGTTAAACACAGGCTATAATAATGATAACAAGCATGGACATCATGCACTTTTAAGAAAAACAATGAAACGATGTATACCATAAACAACTAAAGTTCAGCAAAAGAAACAAATTCAAGCTACTTCAGGGGAAATGTCTAACTGCCTGACTCCTCCAGAACACATTCCTAATAAAATAAAATGTTCTAGTAAATTATTTAATATTACCTCGGTGGACTAATTTTTCGGCCTTGCAGTCTTTTTTCTCTAAAAGCTCTTCTTTCTCTTCTAGATTTTCTTCCCTGGGAAACAAAAGTTCCAGCAAATAAAATAACACTGCTATAAATGCTGAAGTATATAATTAAAACATGCAACTACAACTAGTACTACAATATGAAGTATCAAAAATACTAGCAATTACTTTCTAGGTGTTGCACAAACACAATAAAGCAAAATACTTAACTCACATAACACACCTCAATTCCAAGACATTTATTTGCCAACATGCAAAATACACATATTTTCTAACTTCATCCATTAGGACATGTTGGTAATTAAACAGTATGTGTACAAATAAATTATGGAAACAGCTTATGCCAATTTTCCCTTAAACAATTCCACTTACATAGAGAGCATATTAGAAATTACATATATTTATACAACTTAATAACCAATTTCTGTGGATAATATCAACTACTATATACAGCCCCTCTATATAAAACTTCTTAAAAATTATCTACCACATTCTGTCCAGAAACACATCAGATTCCAACTGCTGATTAAAAATAGATAACATGGCTGTAAATGCAGGAAATGCCACATCCTAAGATCTATCTTACTATTATCCTCCTCCTATAAACACTTAGTTATCCTAACAGTAATTACTAACATACACAATAACAATAATTATAATATCTATATGCCTGTGTTAGGAAACATGCAGGTCTCTTTTTGTAGTATAACAGAACAAACTTCATCACCAGCAGCAATTATTTCAAATAGCTGCCTTGTTTGAGAATGTCTACAGTGAGAATAATATAATAACCACACTTTTTTTGATTGTGCCACCACCTGCAGTAAAATATCTGTGTTTCTGCTTAATGCACAAATATTTTTGATTTTTAAATACAGGCAGAAAGGCTGAATGATTGCACAGGACTTTATAAGAACACTTTAAAGAAATATGACAGCTTTTAAGATACCAGCAGCTATAAACTGAACTGAAAATATTACATAGGCATTTTAAGAAATAATATTTAGCTGGATGGACTAAGCAACATTACCAACTTACGGAATACATAGCCTTCTCTTCTTCCTGTTCACGAGCTTGTCGCAATGATTCTTTCTCTTCAACGTCCCGAGTTAAGAAAGTATAAAAATCATTACCACTCATTCCATATACTGCACCACACATGTTCATCTCATGTGCCTGCTGAGGTCCCACCTGAGTCACATCCACACACAAATCTGCCAACAGAATATCAGATCAGATTGATATCGTCCATTTACACACAAAATTTTAGGAGATGGCCCATTTAACCAATTTTTTGTAATTTTTCTAACACATTTTGAATTTCTTTATTTTAAATTTGAATGACATCTCTAGCAGATGTAAATCAGCACTAAAACATTGACAGATGTTTGGCATTGGCGGTGCAAGATAATGAAAATGCTGTTTGATGTGCTTGGCAGTAAATGGGTTAACACCCTCAGATTTTAAATCATATATAAATTCTTCTACAGTAGTTGTTCTTATTATTACTAACTTACTTCATGGAGTAAGAAAATACCTTGTTAACTTTGCACACTAAATTAACATGAACCTTTTAAAGATTCTGATTATGCATGCTACTAAGTCAGTAAAACATTCCTTACCAAAATCAATATCACTATCATCCTCTTCTTCCTCATCTTCCTTTTCTTCCTCTCCTTCTACCTCTTCACCTTCTACTGGTCCCTGATTTGATGTATTGTCATCATATAAGTAAGGTATAGCTGCTCCAGATGGAGCTCCTTTTTCTCGTTTCCTTTTGTCAACCTCATTCGAACGGCTTACTGGACCAAACTGCTCCTCTAAATATAGCTGGTGCAAGAATTTCTCCTCACCAACTTAAAACAATAGCAGTGAATTAAAACACTGTAACAGCTTTCTCCTTTTCCAGGACAATAAAGTAATGTAAAAAAAACTCTTTCCAAGTATTATACAGTGAAATTAAATAAATAGAAAATACAAAGCTCTAGCTGTTAAGTGCAATGCTTTGGGGATAAATTACTTTTATCTGTTGACAAATACTTTGTACTAGCAGTTTCAGAATCAGCTAGAAAAATGTTAGAATCTGATACAGTCATTTTATTTCTGATATGTGCCACGAGAGAAGTGTTGGAAATTTTGAAATCAGATCAAAAGCCATTTGTACTATACACAGATGCATAAACATGTAGTGTTAAAAATATGCAGGTCCACGACTTACTTCCTAAGAAATCATTCTGGACTATTATTCTATATCTCTCGTAATTTGCCAATCGATCTTCTCGTGAAAGTTCCTCATTTGTTGTTTCTGTCTGGGTGGGATTTTCAGGAATGTAGTCCAAGTGAGCTCGTACATCAAATCTGTCAATCAACACATCTGGACGGCCCTGCCATGGCATCCTGAACAAAACAAAAATTATAGTGATACATCATGTAAATTCACTACATCATACATTCTACATAACTCAAAGTACAGTATTTCAACAGTTGGCTCAAAGGAGGCAACATGAAATAATGGTAAAAATGCAATTACTTTCCAACAGGAAACTTTTTCATTGTTTTCCAAAGTTGGCTTTGTTTTAAAAATAACAGCACAGGATTCTTAGGCAATGCATGCAGGAATAGGCTAGCTCAAGGCATGACCATCAAATCTAGACAATCATAGCAATAAGTAAAGCACACTGTTGGTAAAAGATGTAAATAGAAGGCCATGCTAAACAACAGCATGATCAATGGAATAAAATGACAAAAGTCCAGTAGTTTTCTAGCCTGAGAGGGCAACAAAGTCTCTGACTTTAGAATAAGAATTTTCTTGGGTATTATCCATTAAAAAAAAAAAAAATCCGTGGCGTAACAGCTCTAGAGAGCCAAACCCGACTAGCTTGACTGCTGGCCTCACGTTCACATGTCTAAGCAGAGGTGAACGATCATCCAACCAGATACAGGGTGACGTGTGGTCAGCACGACGAACCCCCAGCCATTGCTAGTTTTCATATTATCCATCATCTAGTAAATAAAATATAAAACGTAAAAAACGACGTTTCAGAGATGGGGCATTGAGTTTCAAATTAATGGTCATATGTATTTATTCCCACTTTTTGTGTGTCTTTGTTTTTATTTGGCTTTTTCATGTTTAACAAATTATGTTTCTACTATTTCTATTTTATTCTTCTACGTCCCACGGATTGATGGTGTGGTGATGTTCTTGTATTCCGGGACTTTCACTTTTTTACTTTGTCCGGAGATAGGGATTAGCTCTATCTAGTGGGCCCAACTGAGTAGGAACCTGAAGACGGAGATAGAGCCCCATCTCCGAAATGTGTTTTTTTCGTTTTATATTTTATTTACTAGATGATGGATAATATCCAAGAAAATTCTTATTCTAATGACTCATTACCATCATCAAGAACTTTTAGATTTAAAGTCTCTGACTAATAATGGAATTACTGATATATTGCCACTATAAATAAGGAATTTACTCAACCTAGAAGCCATTGTGTCCTATGAACTTCCTTCTCAAAAATATGATCTACCAAGAACTTCTTAACCACAGGAACAACATTTATACACATGTATTTAGTAATTCAGAGCACACCATTACCTATACCAAGTAATAATACTTTAAAATTTGTCTTTCTCAACCAGCATTCACAATTCCATGTCTTCAGCTTCTACCATACTAAATCATTATGTTGTGAATAGTTTTTTTATTCAGTTACAAATTAATTGTCCTCTTGGATGCCATTTACCTGAGTTACAGTATTCCTTGTAGGATGTGAAGAATGAGACACAACTCATACTGAAAACTACTTAGAGCCAACCAGTGTTTCTTAGTGCATTTTATAACAGCTCTGCACATTCATGTCAAGTATGTATGTTTCTTCAAGTTTGAGTACATTCTCTACTCAGACATCAGCACCTTCAATGACAATGGAAAACTTACCCAAGTCAATACAAACAAAGGAGTCACAATACTCACATAATTGCAGGACTGTCTCCAGCAAGAGCTATAGCTGGATCCAAGTGAATTTTTACCGGTCTGCCATGAAGTTGTAGGAATTGGGTTGGATCTGCTTTCTGAAATAAAAGCCACAGTGCACAATCAAAACTTACTATTATTTGAAGACCAATCAATGTTACTTTTCAACCCCTATCAGGCCATGTAACAAAAAGAACCAACTTTAATAATAGTTAAGCCATGGAGAAATGCTGTGGAATAAAAAATTACTATTCTACTGCATTCACTGGATACCATAACTATGTTGAGGTTTGGGGATATTCATAAAATCAAAATAGTATTAAGTGATGACTGAAGGACTTTACAACTGTGAATCAGAGGAAAACTCAACATTTTTTACATTACTCTCCATGCAACATGAAACAAAAGTCATGAAAAATTTAGAACCATAAAATGCATGTACTGAATGCTCTTAAAACTAAAATTACATGTGAGATTTGGGGTTCCAACAGCAGTAAAAATAATTATGTTCTTCTGTGTTGTAACACCACATGGACATTCTGAAGAAACAAACTGTCTCCATCTTCAGGACTGAAGTGGGAGTGCTGAGAAGTGGTTGTTTGTAGATGACAGAAAAAGGGCAGGCTAGGGTTAACTGGCCAATCAGAGTCATGGAATGAGGAGGAAATGGTCTGTGCCGATAGAGCGTCAACATACAAAGAAATGGAGGGGGGGGGGGGCTTGAGTCAGGAGATATGGACAGAAAGAAGATTTGGCCATTTAGGGGCCAACCCAAAGGTGGATGTAAGGTGAAATTCATATCCAGGCCAGGGGATAGGCCACTTCAAAACACTCAAAGCCAGGCAATGCAAGGGGAGAAAATTAGTCAGGATAATGATGAAGGGAAGTTAGCAGATACTGAATGGGTGGATCAGTGATATAGATGGGTGGGTGGCTTGGAAAATAAAAGAAAAAAGAGAAAGGTAACCAACTGTAAGAATGAGGAACAATAACAAACAGAGAGCCATCTGTAAGTCAATTTCTTTATCTTAACATCAAAAAACATAGTAACCAGCTACATAAGTTAAGTTAGAATTATTTTAAGAGCTGTAGAATTAAATAAAGCCCCAATTCAGTGACAAGTTGGGAGACTTCACATAAATATTATCACAGTTTATGTCAGGTCTATTAACCATAAATAAATCTCATAATAAGTGACAAATATATATTAACTTGTAAAGCTGTTCCTGCAAAGGATACAATTTCTCAGTCAATAACTAAACCACAATGAGCAATGCTGCAACATAAATTTATTTTGACAGAGTGCCACAAGATACCAAAATCTTCCCTTTCCTTTTTACTTTTTTCTTCCCAACTCCTTTAATGGGGCAAACAGCATTTTAAATGGGGCTTTAAAACATTCATCTTATAAGTATATTAAATTTTAAACAGCAAGATAATATCAAAGACCTTTCATCTTAAAACATTTATAATACTTGAGAATTATTTATTAGGTCTACAGCAAATTCTGCTGTTGACAAGAATATGTCAACTTGGAATAATATTTCAATAATAAAGAGAACAATGAAAACAAGATGGAAAATAAAGATAAACCTGTCTTGCCCTTTTGTCCAATGGGCCTTAGTTTCTGAAATATAGCCTTTAAAGTTTTCTCTTTGGTATTTACAGTGTAGTGTTCCACAACATTATATATTAAAAATTCTAATTATGAAATAAATATAAGATGACTTTTTCTAACTAGATAGGAGTGAGTGGTTGGCATCACACCCTGGTCATGCTTTACCTCGGGGAAAGAACCCTTGTACCCACTGGATAGGAGACTGGGTAGGACTCAGAGCCAGTCTGGATGCAGAGTCTAGAGGAAAGATGCTCTGCCCCTGTCAGGGATTGAACCCCCATCACCTAGCCTGTAGTTAGTCACTATACAGACTGAGCTACCCCACCTCCAAAGCTATCATGAATCATAAATTTAAATTTGTTATGTGTTTAAGATGTTCACACAGTATAAATAATTGGCAAATGAAAACCCAAATTATTTAATTAAATGTTATGTAACATATATTATTAACAAGTGAGGTACATTAATTCTTTTATCTCTCTCTCTCTCCACACACTGCCAATGAACAGACTAATAATGTGATCTGTCAGCAAAACTATTTTGTTTTTTCCGGGGTGCCCACAATAAGGATAGTGCCCATTTCATCATTAGTAGGAATCTCAGTACTTCAGCAACATAATTCCTGGTCCATATTTGTAATTAAAAGTATGTTAATTGCACACCATGCACTAAAATGTTAACCACTTCCAGTTGTCTTGTTAGACTGACCAACACTTTGCCTCCGAACAACAAATCTCGCACATGTTGATGGAAATAATTCCATAAATTGACACTTGGATATACACAATGTTCCAAGAAATGATAAGATCTCAATGAAGCTGTTGTTTAATATTATTTTCACAAATTGCTTTAGAACTCATCCAATAAGAGTAGAGAAGAGTAGAGTTTATTTACATTCCATAGATCATGTATAACATGTCATTTCATACAATATACATACACTTCAGAACTTTCAACAAAAGTACAAGAACGTATTTCACATATCAATGTACATAAATTTCAGATTCTGCAATACAAGTATGAAAAATAATTTTACAAATTAATATACATAAACCTCAGAATTTTAAATATAAATACAAAACTTGCTTTACATACACGTAGATTATGGATATAAAGCTTAAACATTTTCAGCAGAGATGAAATCATCTACAGAATAGAAGGAGTGAGTAAAGAGGTAATCTTTCAATGCAGGCTTGAATACCTTTATATCATAATTTAGACTTTTAATTGTTGGTGGAAGATTATTAAACAACTTGATACCTGTATAGTACACTCCTTTCTGATATTTAGTAAACTTAGCATTTGGCACATATAGATCATGTTTACGTCTTGTATTTAAATTATGTACATCTGTATTTCTTTTAAATTTATCCATGTTTTCCACCACAAATGATAGCAAGCAGAGTATAAATTCACTTGCAAGTGGAAGTATATTAAATTTACGAAATAATTTTCTACAAGATACCCTGCTTTTGATACTCAATGTGTTTCTTCCAATTTAAGGTATTGTCAACTTGTAAGCCAAGGAATTTGCTTGTTTCAACTTCCACAATTAATTTTTCTTCAAAACCTATATTTAACCTAGGATATATCTTGTGCTTAGTAACAAATTTTATTAAGTTTTTTTTTAAATTTAGTGCCAGTTTGTTAGCTCTAAACCATTTGTTTATGTTGGCAAAGACATCATTCATGATATTTTCAAGATAGATCAATTCTTGGTGTGCAATAATGATACTTGTATCATCAGCAAAAAGAATAGGTTTGGATATAGAGTTTATAGTTGCCGGCAGGTCATTTATATTAGAATTTATTTATATTCCGTAGATCCTTCATAACCCTAAGTCAAGGATGTAGAGCAGGTCATAGCACAAATACAATACTTGTTTCTAGTACAAATGTAAATACATAGTTATAACATTTATTTACAGATTTTTGGAACTACTGTATTACAGCAAAATAATTATGATGAGAAACCATAACCATTAATACTTATGTTTAGTAATATTTCATGGTTTACACAATCAAATGCCTTGGCTAGGTCACAAGATATTCCACCCACATGCATTTTATTGTTAAGGGCACATACAATTTCATTAGTGAAACTAAATAGAGCCTTTTCTGTTGAGAGATTTTTTCTAAATCCAAATTTCTCCTCGACTGTACAAGCAAGATAACAAGGGCCAGCATCCATATTTCAATCCACTTCAGTTGAAGTAATCAAAATCCTCCGCCATTCCCAATCGAAGAACGCATTAGTCAAAGAAACTGAAACTTACAATCTTTTCATAGAAGTCTCGTCTCCGTTCTGCTCTCTTCTTATAATCCACCATTATCCCACGAATTTTCCGCTCTTGTTTTCTCGCTTCGTGCCACATTTTTTTGTGTTTGGGCTCTTATTAAACATAAATTTTCAAAACGACAAAACTGGCTCGCATCGAAAGTAACAAGTCATTAATTGAATATCATATTAATACAACACGTACTATTTAATCAAAACTAACAACTCTCGACGCAGAAACTTTTAGCTCTTATACCTGACACAAAATACACATGTACTTCTACTTCCTACAAACACCAGCACTATTCACTGATTTTCCCTTACTACGGAACCCAACAGCAAACTTCAAAATTGTTCATTATAATTTATAAATTACACTATGATCTTACATAAATATTGGCTAAAATCTGCAGTTGGTTCATGCATGCTACAACTATCGACCGTATCATATAACTTCAAGGCTTTACATAATAATATTAATACACTGAGAACATCATATTCACGTATTCCCTGATATCTCGAACCTAAACACATTTAAAGACAAATTGGCGTCACATCACGGATAAAAGAACTTGAGTGTGAACAACAAACAAAGCATAAGTGTGATTAAACCACAACATGAGAGAGAGCTCTAAGTACGTCTGTAAACTTAATTGATACTATGTCTATGTTAAATTAAAATTGATATGCATTTCTCTCCCAGTCCACGTATCCTAAAATGTAACCTCTACACCATTAACTTCTGTGTGGAAAGCACCCAATTAATATGGAAGTCTTTAAATCACCGATCATAAGGCTGTTCTAAGATCAATTCTTGGACAAAAAATTTGTTTTGCCGAACCTTAATTAGAAATAATGTATTTTAAACATGGCTCTAAATAATTCAATCAAATGTTTTACTCTGGGACCAGTTTATATAATTTATGCCTTTACTACTGGGTTATTTAATTATGTTTTTACAGCTGTAGAGGTTATACAGCAATAAAAAGTCACATAAATTCAGTGAACATGAGTATGTTGGATTCCAGTCTTTTCCTTAACTAATGAAAAACAGGAGTCAAACAAATTTTACAGTACAGCATAAATTCCAAACTAAATTAAGAAGTAACTTCTTGGAACATTAAGTTAACAGTAATATTCAGAAATTAATGTTTCTAAAGAAAAGACTGCATCTTCACAGCAGTCCTCCAAAAGCTAAAAGTATGCTCAGATGATCAATTCCATGCTATTAATGGAAGTTCAAGGTTCATTGCCATGTTCATAAGTGCCCACCACTAGCCCCTATCATGAGTCTGAAAAAATCTAATCCATGCCCCCAAACTCTGTTTCCTTAAGAACCATTTAAATATCCTCTCATCTACATGCAGGTCTTCAAGTGATCTTATCATTTCAGGCTATCCAACCAAAATATTGTATGCATTTCTTACCTCCTTCAGGTACACCATATCTCATCCTTAACTGCATTTCACTAATAATTACTGGTGAACAGAGTAAATTATGGAGCTCCTCATTTTGCAATTTTCCCAGTCTCCAGTCACTTTATCCCTCTTTGATTCAAATGCAGATGGCTAATGATAACAAGTTTGAGAATGTACGCATAGTGTATCAATTTTGGCATGTTCACCCCTACATCTTCAGTTCATAAATGTTAACCTCTGATGTTCTTATAAATAGTGGAAAATGGGCAGAAAGGATGAACAATGGTCTCCAATATAAAAATCAATAAAACTCGATGTATGGAATATCCATTTATTAAAGCAAGTTGTGCAAACCGTGTGGTACAGCCAGTCCTGCAAATACACAAAATATACAGCAGCACAGTTTAGTGTTAGACACCTTGGTTACATGGCCCCATGCTTCCAGATACCAAGATGCTTACAAATAGTGCAGTAGGAAAGCCATTATTCAACTCTTGCATTGCAAAAGATCTTTCAACAATAGAAGCCTGATGGTTTCTGATGATGGTCATTAACATATGTAAAACTGATCTTTAAAACTCTGTTCATCATCTTCAGGTAAAAGAGAAGGGAAAAGTGGGCAGAAACTCTAACTGTTTATTTCACTCATTTATCCAAGTGACACTCCTGCAACATAGAGGTCTGCTGGTGTCTGGGTAAGATGCTTCTTCTCTTGTTCACAATGTTCTGCATTTCATCCCAGACCAGATACGTATGTTGATTTTTCTGTTCACAGATTGAAACCTTCACCTCTTCCAAAGATAAATCTTTGAAGAATACCAGGTCCCATCATGTTTCAAGGTTCACCCTCTGACAATAATCATTCTCATAATCACCGCATCATCCATGATGACACTTCTCACCGTCTACAAATGGCTAATACAAAACAAAGAGGAAATATGAACAGAATTAAGTTAGAACTCAGTTAATTATCTGAATCACTATCAAGTACAATTACTTTCCTCTTCTGTGAGTTCCTTTTTCTAGCACCATGAACCTGAATTTTATCATCAGTATCTAATGTTAGATTCAAGACTTCAGCCTTTGATACACACATCATTTCAAGACCATCAGACTTTTTCACTTTCTTATATGTTTCTATTTTTGGAGATTGAATAAAACATTTGCTGCTTAATGTCACTTTAGTATTTCCTGCAGTGTTGTGGCTTTGTTCTGACAAAGTTGGTACACTTTTCCCACTAATATGCATTGTAATATTATGTTTATCTGACATGGCTGCAGCTGCCTTAGGACCTGAAATAAACACACAAATTATACAGACTAAGAATATTTATAAAATGTTTATACATGTTTGATGTATGTTTTCATGCTTGCTCTCATAAAGGAGATATTTCAACTGACAAACAGCACAGCATGTAACACAGCTAACAAAAAGTTATCAGTAATGATGCTACACAGCGAAAGGTTCTGTACATGAGCCCAGTGAGATTCTTTGCTTTCACAAGACTTTAATGACATACAGAAGAATGTTTACAATAGGGTAAGTCAAGGTATAAACTGTGGGTATAATCCCGCTTAATTTGAGTTTTATTAAGTTGCATAAGAAAGAAATGTGGTATATTTAGATAACAAGTTTCAGCAATTTACTGTTTCAATTAAATGTGTTCCATGTGATGGATACCGAAGATTCTTACATTACAAAGTGTAGGTAGGTAGGAAGGAATAAATGTGTGAGTTTGCGAGGATACTTAAGAAAGAAATGTGGTATATTCAGAAGGAAAGAAACAGCTATAAAACAGATAATGTCTGGATTCAATTGGGTATTCCTATCATTTAATGCATGCCATCTTACACATTTGTAGTTATATCTATTGAAACAGCTTATGGCTCACAGAAGAGCCCAAAAGAAATCACAGAATTGCTATGATATATACTATATTATGCTGTAACATGTTCAGAAATATTTACAAATGTTAACTTATAAGAAAATAAATAACACTTAATAAAACGCAATACACAAAGTACAGCAAAATAATCTTAAAACTTTGCATACCGTGTAGTGTATTAGAAAATAAAATAAGTAAACAAACAACTATTAACACTATAAAAACGACACTATTGCCATACGCGTTTCAACCTCAAGAGGTCATCATCAGTGGCATCTGGGAAATTAATTCATCCAGTTTAAACCATTTGATTAAATGAATTAATTTCCCTGATGCCACTGATGATGACCTCTTGAGGCTGAAACACGTATGGCAATAGTGTCGTTTTTATAGTGTTAATAGTTGTTTGTTTACTTAAGTTGTACTTATTTTATATTACAACAAAATAAGTTAATGTTTATAAAAATATAATAGACTCTACAATACTAATAAACTTAAATTAGAGCAACTGCATCTAATATTTACACAACAAATTAAAATAATTTGGCAAAAGACAAACAAATCAAAATCAAATTATATAAAACTTTATGACATGCCTTTCAGTGTAAAATATTTTTCTAATAAACTTTGATTTGTAAATCATTCTAGCTACAACTTTCAGAAGAATTAGTTTGTTGCAGCAAAACAATAACTTTTTGAGCACACAGAAAAATATAAGCAAGAAATATATGCTTTCTTACCTCTCTTCAAATAGCTGATGGTACTGTAGGGTGTGAAATGGAAATCCTCTTGCAAGTATCCCTTGATTAGTAGATGACCAAGAACAGCCTCCCCTCTCTCTCGAGAGAAACTAGGCACTGGGACAGATCTGACACGCAAATTTACAGCTCCCTTCCCGTACCATGCATCTAACAACTTCTGTGCTGAAATCATGTAGTACTGATAAAATTAAAAACCATATTAATTCTTTCAATTTGGAAATATAAATCAAAACATAACTATGTAACAATTGACAACAATAAATGAAAACGGCCTGAAAATTTTCAGGGAGTAAGACAAAGAATACTCTATCATTACTGTTTAATACTGCAATCTATAAAATAGTAATGACAGCAGAAATGGATAGAAACACTAATCTAAGAACTTTAATATACCCAGATGTCAATGCATTAGTAGGGCAAAGAAGAACTGGAAAATAAAAGTAATTAATATTACAAAAGCTTCAACAATTCAAAGAGAAATTAAAAGTTGTTGGTGGATATTAACACTTCATGAAATGGAAGGGTACAATACTGCATTCAGAAGTTTGATTTAAAAATCAGTTGGGACAAAAGTGGTCATGCTCTCAAAATAGACAAATGCAGATTTAAAAAAACTGAAAATCTTACACATGTAAGTCAACAGTATATAAGAGATTTTGAAAAATTCAAGCCATACTCCTGCCAAATCCTAATATTTTTCAGAATTACTTCTGTAAGATACACTAAGATTAATCTTATGTGAAATATCTACTATAAAAATTTGTGATTTTGTCGTCGTTTACCAATTTGTTGTCAAAAAATGATGTCATCAACAATGCCAACAGATATTTGTTTACTCGGCACTGTTATGGAACACAACAATGCAGAGTAAACAAATAACGCTTCACAACAAAGATATCAAAAACTATCAAGCCAGTCGCATTATCACTGCTCCAGAAGCAGCACATCGCCTCCGAACAGCGACATAAAACTATTTAAGAAATGAAGAAAAGTGAAAGAAGACGTTACCAACACCAACAAGGTAATCTGATACTAATAATAATATTCATTCAAGTCATACTGCTCATTCAAGAGTTAAAACACTTCAATAAGACACTAAACTAACCCCGCGTTTTAAACACTTGACTAACCCCCCCCCCCCCCGCCCGCCCCCGCCCG